AATATACTTCCACTGTCTCAAAATAATAATTCATTTTGAGAAATTCAATTTTTTTTAATAGTACAATTATTACATTTTAAAAATATTAATTTTTCAAAATTACCCTTTGATAATATATTATTTTGGGAATATCAATTGTCATAATTATATTTTTTATATTATTAATGAATTTAAAAAGAATGGTAAAATAGTAAATTCATATTATTCCTTAATTTTTGAGAAAGGACTAATATTGTAAGATAATAAAAAATAAAATAAGAGACTAATATTTTGAGACGGAAAGAGAATATACTTAGAATTTTAACATGGTAAAGCATAACCATAATTTTTGAAAAATTAAAGTTTTTCATCAATTTGATAACGCCATCACCGTGTCAGCCTCTGATATCAGGAACAGCATCAACGCTGCCCCGATTTTTTTTTATTAAGCTTTCGTTTGGGATGTGAATTGATTTTTTTTAGCCTGAAACTAAAAAATCTCGTTTGGAATAGATTTTTTAAACTTTTTAAATTTTTGTGAGAAAATGGGATTTTTATTGATAAATCTCATTTAAAAGTGTTTTAACCCAAAAAATCCATGAATAAATTTATTAACTCATTTAGTCCCATGTATGTATAGTTTTATTCCATAAAATCCTTTTTCTTGATTTACACTCTTTTTTTAGACTCTTATGCCCTTATATTTAATTTTGATACTTTTACAAATATTTTTTGAACGGTTAGCAATTTTATGATGTAAATATTCATATTTTAACATTCACATTGGTAAGAATGTAAAATTGGCTCGTGGCCCGTGGGTGGTTCGAAGATCGCCCCCGAGCCGGGGTGGGCCCGATCCGTTGACAATGTGAATATTCACACTGACATGTTAACATTTACATTGATAGAAGTGTAAAATTGGCCCGCGGCCCGTGGGCAGCTCGAAACCCGCCCGTGGCCCGTGGGTTGCCCGGGGCGGGCCCGGGCCGGCCCAACCTGTTGACAATGTGAATATTCACATTAACATATTAACATTCACATTGATAGGAGTGTAAAATTGATCCACGGCCCGTAGGCGGTCCGAAACCCGCCTGCGAGCCCGGCCCGACCCGTTTACAATGTGAATATTCACATTGACATGTTAACATTCACATTGATAGGAATGTAAAATTGGCCCGCGACCCGTGGGCGGCCCGAAGCCCACCCGTTGCCCGGGACGGGGCGGGGCGGGGCGGGCTGTAAATATTCATATTTTAACATTCACATTGGTAAGAATGTAAAATTGGCCCGTGGCCCGTGGCCGGTCCGAAGCTCGCCCTCGAGCCGGAGCAGGCCCGGTCCGTTGGTAATGTGAATATTCACATTGACATGTTAACATTCACATTGATAGAAGTGTAAAATTAGCCCACGGCCAGTGGGAAGAACGAAACCCGCCCGCGGCCCGTGGGCTACCCAGGGCGGGCCTGTTGATAATGTGAATATTCACATTAACATATTAACATTCACCTTGATAGGAGTGTAAAATTGACCCCCGGCTCGTAAACGGCCTGAAATCTACCCGCGGACCCGGCCCGGCCTAGCCTGGCCCGGCCCTGCCCGTTTACAATGTGAATATTTACATCGACATGTTAACATTCACATTGATAGGAGTGTAAAATTGGCCCGCGGCCCGTGGGTGGCTCGAAATTCGCCCGCGGGCCCGGTTTTGCCCGTTTACAATGTAAATATTCACATTGACATGTTAACATTAACATTGATAGGAGTGTAAAATTAGCCCGCGGCCCGGAGCGAGTTCGACCTGTTGACAATGTGAATATTCACATTGACATGTTAATATTAGCATTGATAGAAGTGTAAAATTGGCCCGCGGCCCGTGGGCCACCCGAAGCCCTCCCGCGTCTCGGGACAAGCTCGTTTGGGCCTGGGCTTGAGCCCAGCCCGAGAACTTAGGTTAGGACTTGGGCCATCACTTTGAAGCTCGGCCCGCATAAGGCCCATTTAAGGCTCGGGCGGCCAGAGGCCCGGTGCTTTTTTTGTGGAAAATAATAAAATTTTGGGAGAAAAAATTAAAAAGAATTTAAAAAAATGGCGAGGTTCACCTAAGCCCGACCCACGCCCAAGTCTAGGCCCAAGCCCCTTGGCTCTACCCACCGAGGCACCCAAAATCTGAATACTTTTGTGCTAGGGCTAGGGCATAGACCTAATTTTTTGGCCCGTGGGCCGGTCCGGCCTGCCCCGAATTTTGTCAAGCACCCACGAGGCTTTACATGGGTTGGCCCCAGCCCGGGCTGGGCCGAGCCCCTATACATTGATGATATGAACATTCATATTAGCGGTGTGAACATTTACATTGACAGTGTGAACATTCACATTAGGAGTATTTTGGTAATTATATCACCCATAGGATGTGAACATTCACATTAGGGGTATTTTGGTAATTATGTCACCCATAGGACTTATTGAAACATAAAAAAATAATGTAGACTAAATGGAACATAAGTAGATGAAAAGGGTATTTTGATTTTCTTACCTCAAATAGGAACATTCACATTGACGGTGTGAACATTCACATTAGGAGTATTTTGGTAATTATGTCACCCATAAGATGTGAACATTCACATTAGGGGTATTTTAGTAATTATGTCACCCATAGGACTTATTGAAACATAAGAAAATAATGTGGACTAAATGGAACATAAGTAGATGAAAATGGTATTTTGGTCTTCTTACCTCAAACAGGAACATTTACATTGACGGTGTGAACATTCACATCGACGATGTGAACATTCACATTAGGGGTATTTTGGTAATTATGCCACCTATAGGACTTATTAAAACATAAGAAAATAATGTGGACTAAATGGAACATAAGTAAATGAAAATGGTATTTTAATCTTCTTATTTCAAATAGGAACATTCACATTGACAGTGCGAACATTCACATTAGGAATATTTTGGTAATTATGTCACCCATAAGACTTATTGAAACATAAGAAATAATGTGGACTAAATGGAACATAAGTAGATAAAAGGGTATTTTGGTTTTCTTATCTCAAAAAGAACCTAATGAAATAGTCAAAAAAAATATAAGTAGGATAGAATAAAGCTCCCAAAAATAAAATAATTATAAATTAAATATTTAACTAAAATAATTAATTTTATCATATACAATTATTTTAACTTAAAATAATATCCCAAACAGCTAAAGATCTCGCCTGGGATGGGAGGTTCCCCACGAATGAGGATCCTCTCCTTGCAGTCTCCATCCTTGCATCTGTCCTTGCAGGCTTTCGGGTCTACTTTTAGGCCCAATTTTGATAATCCGAATCGTTTATATTTTATGATTTATTCAGTATATCATACCTGTAAAAAATCAAGTTGATCGGATATCAGAAAGTATGTGTTCGGAAAACTGTTTATTAAATTCTTTAAAAAATAGTTTTTAGTTCAATTTTTCGAACACATGCTTTCTGATATCCGATCAACTTGATTTCTTACAGGTATGATATACTGAATAAATCATAAAATATGAACGGTTCGAATTATTAAAATTGGGCCTAAAAATAGACCCAAAGGCCTGCAAGGACAAACGCAAGGACAGACATACAAGGAGAGGCTCTTGACTCGGTTCCCCACCAAGGACTAACAACCATGCGTCTAATCACTGTGCCAAACGATTACTTGTCATTAATACTTTTCCAATAAATATTTAAAAATCAGATTGGGCCACAGGTGGTCGACTTCAGCCTCTAGACACACGTGCATTCACTCTCCGTAGGTCCACCGGCGCGTGATAGCGCGTCTCTTCTCATTTTATGTTTATTTTTGTGAGTAGGAGGCCTTGTTTGGCATAGACTAAAAATTTAACTTTTTAGGCTAAAATTTATAAAAGGATAAAATAGATTAAAATTCTTAATAAGATAAAGTATCACATCAAATCCATAATCATTTCACTTTTTCTCTCACAAGCATCATATCTAACTATAAACAAATTCAACTATCTTCACAAACACAAGAATAGCCTACTAAAATAGTCAAAAATTAAAATAACCTACTAAAATAGCCAACTTTCCAAACAAGGTCTGAAGTCCTTTCGTTGAGACTCGTCTTTTGGGATGATCAGAGGTTGATTCAAGCAAATTTGAAAATTTTAACTTCAGAAAAAACTACTCTATTATTTTAAAATTGACTCTGATATTTAAGATGTTCAAAATTTATATTCACACACAAATTAATCCATACACACAAAAAAGACACAGTATTTATCTTGGTTTGACCTAATATCTACGTCAAAAAAGACTCACACCCACCATGTTGGCACCATCTACACCACTCAATGGCAACTACCATTACGACCACCTTTTACTCCCCCCTTCTTGCTACTGCCGCCACGACTACCATCACCCTTACCTTTTCTCAGCCTCAGCCACCACCACCATACCAGGATGTTCAAAATTTATTTCCACACACAAATTAACCCAAACACACAAAAAAGACGCGGTATTTAACTTGGTTTGGCCTAATGACTACGTTAAGGAAGACTCACCACCACCATGTTGGCACCATCAACACCACTCAATGGCAACCACCACTATAACCACCTTCTACTCCCCCTTCTTGTTGCCGCTACCACGACTACCATCACTCTTATCTTTTCTCAACCTCAGTCACAGTCACCATTACTATCACTAACTTACTGTCACCATTGCTATAATCACCCCTACCTTGTCACCATCATTGCCATCACTATCTCTGCTAATACAACTATTAACATTCAATTTTAAAATCACAATCAAATATAGAAAACTATAAAAGTTTTGGCGGAACAAACATTGGGTAGTTTTTTTGAAAGATAATTTAGTAGTCAAAAAAGAATTGAAAGAGAGAAACAGAGTGAGAATCAAATGAAGATGATGATCTCATGCCTGACGGACCAATAGAATTTAAAAACATTATTAAAATTTTCAGTGAATTAATTAACATCAATAAAACACTATAATAATAGGGTGTTTCTCAAAGTCGGTCGATACAGCCGTCCCACTACACACACTACATATAGACCCATACACACACACTTAGAAATTTACTTAAACCAAACAAAGCACAACCATCTTGGTACAGCCAAAGAAAAATGCCTCCATCTACCACCAACACCACCACTCACTATGACTCCTACCCACCAGTGTTCCGCCCAAAGATCGCCTCAATCCACCACTCAGCACCCACTTCACGCAACCCATACTCAGACTCAGACCCACTACCAGTAATCGACCTCCAATGCCTGAACAAGAACAAACTAGCCGAGGCTTGCAGAGACTGGGGCATATTTCGATTGGTGAACCATGGTGTCCCAACAAAGCTGCTGAGCCAGCTTCATGAGCATGCCAAGGACCTTTTCTCTCTCTCCTTTGAGACCAAACAAAGGCATGGTTTTGGAAGTCCTATGTCTTACTTTTGGGGTACCCATGGTTTAACCCCTAGTGGGGTGGCCATTGAGAGGGGTCTCAATATTGCTACAAACATTAACTGGGTCGAAGGTTTCAGTGTTCCTCTGACTCTACTGTCAAACCTTCTTGCTCAAAAGAAACTGTCACACCAGCTTCAAGATCATGGTGATGATGATGATTATCCAATGCTTGATGCTTTCAGGTAACACAAACACCTTTTACTAACCTTTTGCTTTTTATTTTTATTTTTATGAGACATGAATAATTTTGATTAGTTAAAAAAATTGATCATTTGAAAGTTAAGAGAAATTATTAATTTTTAGTTTAAAAAAATTATACTAACTAACAAACCTATCAAATAAACACAACATTAAATGATCAAATTATGTAAAAATTTTAAGACATTGTTTAAGTGTATTAAAGCAGACAACAGTATCCCTTTCTAAGTAGATTGCTGTGGATTACTTTGGACATCTGCGACAGGTTGACTTGTAGCCTCTTTTATTTATTCATTTATTTTCGATTATTGAAAGATAGTACAACCAAAAAGCCAATCATATCCTAATCAACTTTCAAATTGTAAGTTCAAACCGGTCAAAAAAAAATTCAAATAGGTAAAAAATAAATAAAAAAAAAAATTACACTTATCGGTCGACCATTCCCTTTTAATGCACGGTTGGAGCAAGCCATATCAGATTGAGAAAATTAATTTTTTTTTTACTCAAATTTGGTATAAAATTTGATTAATCGTTGGAGATGTTCTTAGGTAAATCTTTTAAGTCCCACTTAATGACTAAACAAACTAAAAAGATTAAAATTTAATTCAATTTAAGATAAATTTTGTACATCTACCGACATTAACTACAGTTGTTAGCATTTTCCAATTTTATATATAAAAATTTTATTTTTTACTTTAATTGATAGGAGATGATTTTTCTCGAGTGGGAGTCCTACTTGGATAGGTGTTGTTGGATTAATCATATGATAACTGATTTAAATTTCTTTTCAAACGAACGATTTATTTAACGGGTTTTAAAAAAAGGAATGGCTCATGGGTGGACCTTAAAGGCCCAACAGAATCAACTGGTATACTTCTGGAGAGCATGATTGCATGGTGGATGTAACTTTTTCCAACGGGGGAGATTTTACAAGTGGGGTAGTAGCAATCATGAGATGAGGACCACAATGAGTTTGGGCCTCAAGTGTAGTTTTCAATCTCTCGGCCCTTTCTCTTTGTTTTTTTTTGGACAGTTGGGTACACTATCAGACTCGTTGCATTCATTCATTGCTTATCGATTCCTTCTTCCAGTAGTTTTCACGTGTAAAAAATCTACTGTGGTCATCGTTAAAATTGCCACTGTATTTTTATTATTATTTTTTCAACTAGTAAGATTATTTAACAATTCAACAGCTACATAAATTTAACAACGAACTCTATAATAGAAACAAAACAACAAAATCATAGTAAAAGAAAAAAATAATAAATCTTTATATTTGACAATGATTAACCTATGATTTTCTAATTATACTAGATTTTTGCGGATTTCAGCTATTAAATTTTGAATTTTATCTGATTAAGTTATGTATCATCAATTTATTGATATAAAAAATAAAGATCATTAAATCAATGTATTAGTGACACATACAGCATTCAATTTTAGTCTGTTCATATATGTTATATGTTTCCGTGTGTAAGAAAAGATGTTCACGTCTATAAATTAGTATTTTTGCATTTGTAACCGGTTGTTTAGGAAGATAGTTTTAATACTATATGGCTTTGTTTGTTTGGACGGATTGAATTAGTTTGGATTAGTATTCTTATGACTAATAGTCCTAGGACTGCGAATCTTTTGGATTGTATATTCTATCTTATGTTTGGATTAAATTAGAATTATAAGAAGGGACTAGTAGTTTAGGATTTGACTTAGTCTTCCAATTTAGATCTCACTCTTCTCTGTAAGATTGAATAGTCCATCATATGTGGGATATAATATCCGGATGGATTGTTAGTCCGTGTTTCAATTGTTTAACTAAATATCGGATTAATAATTTTATTGGACTATTAATCCAATCCCAAACTCATGTTCACTCAACCAAACATGACCTTGCTGTTTCACAAATTGGACTAGTTTTCAACTGTTCAATTCTGATCTGTGTTTGTATGGCGTTGAAGAACTGAGTTAGATGAGTATGGAAAGCACCAATCAAGATTGGCTACAACAATTTTCAAAGCAATAGCAGAGAACCTGGAGCTGGGTCGAGAACTGTCGGACTGTTATCTATCCACATCGACTGGTAACATGCGGGTTTACCGCTACCCACAATGTTCGGAGGAGAACCGAGCATGGGGGATCGACGCCCACACTGACAGCTCAGTGATATCGATACTGTACCATGATGAAGTCGGAGGTTTTGAAGTTTACAAGGATGGTAATTGGCTCCCAGTCAAACCTATTCCCAACACTCTCGTCCTTCTCCTCGGTGATATGATGCAGGTCTCTCTCTCTTTCTCTCTCTCTCTCTCTTTCTATTCTTCTACTCTACTTGTCTTCTAGCCATACCAAAGAAATAATAATGATAAAAAATAAATTCAAATCAAACAATTTATATTAATGTTCAACAATTTTGTTGCTGAAAAATATTTGAGATTCCTAAAAAAGTTATTATTATTATTTTTTTTAAAAAAAAATTGAGTTTTTTGTTTTTTATATTTTTTTTATTTTTACTATTTTTTTTATAAATATTTTAAGTAATTTTTTTAGTCTTTAGATATACCTAATATAAATATACTTAAAAAATATAATATTTGTAAAAAAAATATTTTAAAAATTACTAAATACCAAAAATACAAAAAAAAAATTGGTATATTTTTGTATTCTTGTGTATTTGTTGATTTTTTAAAAAATATGTTACTTTTTTTGTACATCTTAAAAAAAATGCTTAAAATATTAAAAAATTGCTTAAAAAAAGAAAAAACTCAATTATCAAAAATTTTGAGTTCAAAAATTGGAACAAGTCCAAATCTGTTGGCTTTGTGGATTTAAGTTATTTATAATTATAATACAATTTTATCATATTTGTTTAAAAATAAAGAGACAATAAAAATAACTTTCAAAATTTTTTTTTTATTAAGTCACGTGTCAATAACTATCCGATCAGTTTAAATATTTCATGAATGATTTACATTTTAAAACTTTAAAAGTGAATGAATAAAGTAAGTGCCGTGAATTTCGATTGACCAATCTAATCCAATTTTCTTTTATAAGCAGAGAGGAATTGAAACTTATTATTTTATTCATATATAATATTTTTTTGTGTGCGTGGGTGTGGGGGGTCATTAATTAGGCGATGAGCAATGATAAATACAAGAGTGTGAAACATAAGGTGAAGATAAACAAGTACGAGGATCGAATGTCAGCTGGTTACTTCGTGTTCCCTAAGGAAAACGGTGTGATTCGGAGCTCAAACTACAAGCCTTTTTGTTACGCTGAATTTCGAGCACAAGTTCAACATGACTTAAAGACCGTTGGATACAAAATTGGTCTCGACCACTTCAAGCTTCACTGATGACAATGACACCCCTCTTCTAATTACTTTACTACTAGTGTGCTTTTTTTTTTTCCCCTTTTTTTTCTTGGGTTATTTTTGAAGTTCAAAAAACATGTCATGATGTGTGGTGTGGGCAGACTCTATTGTGAGTAGACAGTGAAAAAGAATATAAAAATGGTGTGTCTCTAGTTTTAATCTTGAAGAAAGATGGCTATTTTGTGTTTTTATTATTAATTTTTTTGTTGAATTTAATCGTGGGAGTGATTCTAAATGAGTAGTGATATGTCCCAAGACCCCATCAAACTGTCAAAAATTATTTAAAAAATATATTTATTTTGCTAATATTTTATTTAATTCCATTAAAAAACTAAGCAACCCTATCAAATTGGAATTCATACCCATTGGAAATAGTTTAAATTTTTTATTTTTTGTGTTTTTTATTTTTAGTGAAATTTTTGATATTTTAAACAATGTATTTTTTATTTTGTAGGTCATTTTAATCTTGATATATTTAAAAAATAAAATATTTATGAATTTTGTTTTTAAAATCAATAAATATATATTTTTTTGTATTTATTGAATTTTTAAAAGATTTTTTTCAATAATATTTTATTTTTTTAAATTCATGTAGGTTATGTGGATCTAAAAAAAATAAGATGACGACTTAAATATGAAATAAAAAAAATTCTAAAGACAACAAATTACAAAAAAATAAAAAAAAACTTTGCTTTTAAAAAATTCAAAACCAAACAGAGTCAATGTTGTTTAGTTTTTTAAAAAATTCTTACAGAATTTATGAAATTTAAGTTAGTGGAGTGACACCATCTGCAAAAACTCATGGAGTCGCCACTGTTTAATCGCAAAACCCACATATAGGCTGCCTACTGTAGTGACTGAGGGGTTTAACATGAGTTTTTTTTTTAGTCAGAAACATTTGAGATTCATTGTGGCTCTGTTTATTTAGAAAGAAATGGATAATAGAAAGTGAAAATAGTAGAAAGTGTAGTGAAAGAAAGGAAAAAGAAATAAAATTTATTTTCTTGCATGCATTTGAATAGATCAGAAATTTTGTAAGAAAATGCTGGGAAAAAATATAATTACCGCATAATAAGGAGTTGTAGAGAGAAGTATGGGTAAATAGGGAAACAAAATAAGTATTATCAAGTTTTGTGAGAAAAAATAAAATTTTCTGTGTATTTTGAGAGAAATCGCAAGCCTAATTAACAAGCTAATTTGAGTTGTACATGAAATTTTAGTTTTCATTATTTTCTAGGACTATCTAAATAAACACATAAAAAATTATTTTATCTTTATTTTTCTTTTACTTTTTTGTATTCTTTATCTAACCAAACTGAGCCTATGGGATGATTTTCAGAGGTCTCATATTTGAGTTTTAGAGGGGACAAAATGTTTGGGTTTAATTGATACGTGTGATTTGTTGATAATTGTATGTATCCTGATTTTATTTATAAGCTTCTAGTATATGAAATGACTTGATAGGCTGATTATAATTCCTTGGCATTAAGAAAAATAATACTAAAAATTGAGTGTGCAAAACAACAATGATGCATCCCACTAATTTGGGAGCACTAATGGACCACTAATGAGGTGGAAATTTAAAAAAAAAAAAAAAAAAAAAAAAAAACTTAAAGCCAAAACATCACGTCAAGCAGTGAGACTCACTCTCTAGAGCTCCTTTAGTGCTCCCAATTTAGAGTTCCCAAACATTTTTCTTTCAAACAAATACTTTCGTGTTGTTATTTCAAATCTATTCATTTTTCTCATTTTTATTTTTGAATGATTTCAAAAAAAGGGGTGCATCGTTCTGTATTTTCTATCCGCTTATGTTCGAGTCTTTTTGTCCTTTATATTCGTTTGGAATTTTGTTTATATTTGCTAATTTTTTGGTTGGTGCGGTGTTGGACTCTTATTCATAATTAAAATACTCAATTTAAATTGATGTAACACTTTACAGTAATTTTTACACTTTATCATTTTTTTTTTTATATTTTAAAATGCTCAATTTAAATTTTAGGTTGTTTAAATTGCGGTTTTAAAGAGAACTGTTGAGGTGATGAAAACTAAGGATTGGTGCGGGTTGATTGCGGTTACAGAATCTCTAATTTGTCATCCGTTCGTTAGATTGGCGGATTGAAAAAAATCAATTTGCATCCGTTCGCCAATCTGGCCGATGTGGATTGAGCGGATTTGTGGATGGATGCGAATTGGTTTCGCAGTTTAAAATTTTATAAATTTTCAACATAATTCAACTTGTGCACTTCCTCGAAAAAAAAAAGAAAATATTACAGTTAATGACTTAAAAAAGTATTACAATCTCTGCAAGCCTCATCCAAAGAGAGAAATTTTGAAACTTTAGAATATTACAAACACTGCATGCCTCATCCATATATTATAATCACAATATACCGCATCCACATAAAGTATTACAATTTGTGGTTCTTAAAATATAAAAACAATTCAAACCACTAAAAACCATGAACAGAGCAGTAGTAGAGATTGTATGTCTCTGTATTGTTACATCTATTTCTGTTTTTGAAAACAAAAACCAACCAGCATATATCATTTTTTTCATTTATTATTTTTAGAGTTAGATTTAAAAATAAAAAAATATAGATTAATACATTTATTTTTTTCAATACAAAAATATATTCAAGTTGAAAATTCTTTTCAATAGCCTATTTAACCTCTTTTTCAATTGAAAATATAAACAGAATATATAAACAAATTGAAAATATAAAGTCATACAAATTATTAGGGGTGCTCGCAGTTTGGTGATTCGATTGCTGTCAATGGAACCTCAAATCCGCCATCTGTCCAAACTAGGCAGATTGAAAAAAATCAATCCACAACTGTTCTCTCGTTATCACGCATCCGTTCAAAATGCGATAGATCGGTTCGATTCAATCTGTTTGGACGAATCGATATATCCACTGCTCACACCCTAATAAAAACTACTTAGACCAACCCATTTGATGATGGCCCAATTGAAAATTCCTCTGATTTTACAAATGAAGGCCCTATTGAGGAATTCTCCTCATATTTTCAACTTGCAATTAATAAACTATGGTAAAAGCTAACCACGGTTAAATGGGTGGTCATTAATGTTGAAATATATATGTATAAAATTTATTAAAATATATAAAAACAAACGTGTATTAAAATTTTAATTCTTTTGACGTTATATGACGGTTAATGAATGCTCAATAAGGAATCATTAATAGGATCTGAAATTATAAATCAATAAAGTTGTCCAGTGTTATTTTGATATTTGGCAAAAAGGTTAGGTGTTAAATTCTATTCTCTCGTGTAGGTTTTATTTCATGTGTAGTTGGGGTTCAAATTATCCTTAAACTTTTATCGCTAGGGAAAAAAAAAAAAAAAAAAAAAGGAAAAAAGAAAGAAAAAAAAAACAGTTTCTAAAAATAGAAATTAAGGGTATTAGGGGCAACTTTTTTAGGACCACCAATCATTTTCCTAAATTCTATTATCTCGTGTAGGTTTTATTTCATGTGTAGTTGGGGTTCAAATTATCCTTAAACTTTTATCGCAAGATTATTGCATCAAATAGAGGTATGTTTTAAAAAATAGATCACTTATTTTGTGAAAATAAATGTGATAAAGTAAAAAAATTATGATTATTAAATCGATCTATTTAATATTTATTTATTTATTTTTATGAATGATAAACAAGAAGAACACTATTAAATGTGAGAACTCGCATTTAATTATTCAAAAAAAAAAATAATTAATTAATTTTATCCAGAGTCTATCTAATATATATTAGTGTATAAATTAGTTTTAATTTATCCTAATTCAATAATTAAAAAGAGACATTATTAAGAATAATAATTTTGTGGATGTTCAATATTTATTGTTTATAAATTATTTTAATAGAGGGTTCAACATGATAATTATCCTTATTAAATACCTTAATTAAAAACCTTAGTGTATTAATTTTAAGAAACTCATACAAATATATATATATATATATAAAATAAAAAAAAAAATCAAAGTTAAAACATCACATTACATAAGACCCACACATCAATTAAAAATATTAAAACTCTTAATTTAGAACTCACAGTCTTTTTTCTAGTTACAAACCCTAACTGCAAACTCTAAGGGGGTGGTTTGGTTATCTTAATTGGGACTAAAAAAATATAAAAGATAAAATAAATTAAAATAATGTATTTAAATCATGACTATTTTATTTGTTTAATAAATTCAAAAAAATTAAAAATATTTTGTTAAACGAATTTTTTAGTCTCAAATTAAAAAAAATTTCAATACTAAAAAATCAAGATTTTTTTTTTTTATTTATCAAAAGACAGCTAAAAGTGAATATTTCAGCTCTATGTAATTATTTTATAATATTTTATTTATGAGAAAAGCTTGGGATCCCCACTGTGGGACCCCCAACACCCCTATATGGGTGTTAATTGGTCAGATTTTTTTTTTCTTCTTCAATTACTAATCTCTGTGTGTGTAGGGTGATAAAAGTGAAGAGGGGGTGAGGGTCTCAATCAACTCTCCTTATTTATCACTATCGTAAAAGTTCTAACCACTTTTATTTTATTTTATTTTATTTTATTAAAAACGATGATGAACATGAATCCAACCACTAGTATTTTTTTTTATTAATTCTAATTTTCAAATGGTCCACGTTACAAGTCCCAATAACCTTGTTTATTAACATCAAATCCGAAATGATATCAAATTGTAACGACGACAGGCTATGGTTGGGAAAGTTGTAAAAGGTATCTACAATAACTAGACGTAGAAGATCCGGAATGTATATATACATATATATGTATATATATATTTTTTGATCGGGATGTAGAAGATCCGGATTGTCGTTCAAACCGAATCCAGATCTTCAACCGCCCTACCCGGCAGCCCCTCAAAACGACGTCGTTTTGGGGAATTTTTATTTATTTGTTTGTTTTTTTTCTTTTCTTCTTCGTTCTTGCTTTCTCTCTCTTCGAAACCAGAGGGGAGAGGGAGAAGATGGAGGAAGGAGGAGGGAGGAGGCTGCGAGCTCGCCGTCGCCGCCCGCCGTCGCAGCAGTCCGATCGTCGCCCGATCCAACTCGTCGCAGCAGCTGCACCGCCGTCGCCGCAGCTGCATCTAAAAAAATAAAAAATTTGCTTAAAATTTTTAAAATATTCACTAAAAATAAAAAAAATAAAAAACTCAATTTCCAGAA